AATAGTGACATCAATGAAGATCCGTTCAGTTTGGAGTGATATGTGATGGAACTTGCTGAGATGTTACAAGACGTGTTTATCAGAACACAGCTTCCAATATCCAACTTGAGGACTTAAACATATGACGAAGCAAGCAACATAGAATAATATAGAGTTCCCGATATACTTGTAATGAATTGGAATTATTAGAAGAGTAAGGTTTAAATACTTATACACGTTTTAATCATACAAATGATGTTTGGAGATGAGAACAGTTTTTCTAATTTTGTATCATCGTCCAGATCATCTAAACCATGAACGTGTAACTTATTGAAAAAATTCTGCCGCTGAACTGCATACAATGGACAGTATAACACAACATGTCCGGCGAATATAACGGGTGTCAAGCTTTGATGAGGAAAAGCCAACTTCTAGCACTGTACATACATTGTGGCGCACATGTTTCTCATTTAGTCACCTCCAAAACAATGCCCGGTGCGTTAGATTGCGTACAGGAACTTGGCAAGTTCTACAACCGGTGTTGATTCGCCAACTTAACTCAGCCAGTTTACCCAATGGCTAACACGGACACTACACAAGCGGTTATATCTGTTCTGCAGTTTTACTCGGAAGTTTTGGAATCTTTAGTCGCGCAGCAAAGAAATTTGGTTCCATCACCAGTGCCTGCGCAAGTGGGTTGTATAACAATCTAGAGAATTCGGAGACGGTTCTGAGTTTTAAAGTCATCTTTACCAGTCCTTCGTGTAATGGAGAAATTTAACCAATCGCTTCAGGGTAAGAAACAAACCGTCGCTGGAAGTATAGAAGAGGTGGACATTGCGTGGTCTATTTTACACCCACCGACCTAACAGAGTATGGAAGACTATCTGCTATGCTATTAACGAGAAATTGCAATTCAGATGTTGTTGATCGTTATCCCGAACTTTCTGCAGAACAGGAATACGAATATGAATTCTTCAGGCGCAACTATACAGGATCTCACAATGTTGATTTTTACGAAGTAATCAAGTTAGGAAAATGTTCTACAAGTAGAAAAACTATCGAGGCTGATTCTTATAAATATATACTCAAACAAGTCGAACCACTCATAGCCATAAAGTTTGTTGAACGTAATCCAGAGACCAGAGGAAATGTCTTTGGAAGGTATAAATAGTTCCACTGCTAGCTTGCGCTGAGAGTATTATGCCGTGAAATGTAACCAGCCTTCTCTCTGCTATCTCTGTTTTTAAATTGGGGGATCCGTACGTCGTACAGGCACGGATATTCCGGCCATACGTCCACCATGGCCTTCGATAATTGCTTCAGATACAAACTCGCATTCAACGATGGGCGCAGCCATTTTTATACGTATATTGTCGTCGCCCCTGTCCGTCGGTCCGTCGGTCAACATTTCTTGTGAGCACTATAGCGACTAAAGTTTTCATCTGATTTTGATAAAACTTGGTGTGATGCTTTGGATTGATAAGATCTCGGTCAAGTTCGAATTTGACATATTTTCGATGAACGGTTTTTGAGATAGTGCCCTTGACTTAGAACGCCTTGAAATTTGTTCAAAATTGTTCGTGAGCAGGATTGAAGCTACAGTTTTCATCCGATTCTGATGAAACTTGGTGTGATCATTGGAATTGATAAGATCTCGGACAAGTTCTAACTTGACGCATTTTGGATGAACGGTTTTTGGGTTATTGCCCTTGACTTTGTTAAAACGTTTTGAAATTTGTTAAAAATAGTTCGTGAGCAGGATTGAAGCTACAGTTTTCAACCGATTCTGATGAAACTTGGTGTGATCATTGGAATTGATAAGATCTCGGACAAGTTCTAACTTGACGCATTTTTGATGAACGGTTTTTGAGTTATTGCCCTTGACTTTGTTAAAATGTGTTGAAATTTGTTAAAAATAGTTTGTGAGCAGGATTGACGCTACAGTTTTAAACCGATTCTGATGAAACTTGGTGTGATCATTGGAATTGATAAGATCTCGGACAAGTTCTAACTTGACGCATTTTCGATGAACTGTTTTTGAGTTATTGCCCTTGACTTTGTTAAAATGCGTCGAAATTTGTTAAAAATAGTTTGTGAGCAGGATTGAAGCTACAGTTTTCAACCGATTCTGATGAAACTTGGTGTGATCATTGGAATTGATAAGATCTCGGACAAGTTCTAACTTGACGCATTTTTGATGAACGGTTTTTGAGTTATTGCCCTTGACTTTGTTAAAATGTGTTGAAATTTGTTAAAAATAGTTTGTGAGCAGGATTGACGCTACAGTTTTAAACCGATTCTGATGAAACTTGGTGTGATCATTGGAATTGATAAGATCTCGGACAAGTTCTAACTTGACGCAT